CCAAAGTCTAAAGTTTTTTTTTCACATATGTGTACTACCTTCATCTTCTATATTACTGACAGCTACTGCCAGTAAGGATGTCACAAACAGTGTACTACCTACATCTTCTATATTACTGACAGCTACTGCCAGTAAGGGTGTACAGTGTACTGCCTATATCTTCTACATTACTGACAGCGACTGCCAGTAAGGATGTCACAAACAGTGTAATACCTACATCTTCTATATTACTGAAAGCTACTGCCAATAAGGATGTCACAAACAGTGTACTACCTACATATTCTATATTACTGACAGCTACTGCCAGTAAGGATGTCACAAACAGTGTTCTACCTGCAGCTTCTATATTACTGATAGCTACTGCCAGTAAGGATGTCACAAACAGTGTACTACCTACATATTCTATATTACTGACAGCTACTGCCAGTGAGGCTGTCACAAACAGTGTTCTACCTACATCTTCTATATTACTGATAGCTACTGCTAGTAAGGATGTTACAAAAAGTGTACTGCCTACATCTTCTATATTACTGAAAGCTACTGCCAGTGAGGATGTCACAAACAGTGTACTACCTACATCTTCTATATTACTGCCAGCTACTGCTAGTAAGGATGTTACAAAAAGTGTACTGCCTACATCTTCTATATTACTGAAAGCTACTGCCAGTGAGGATGTCACAAACAGTGTACTACCTACATCTTCTATATTACTGCCAGTAAGGATGTCACAAACAGTGTAATACATACATCTTCTATATTACTGACAGCTACTGCCAGTAAGGATGTTACAAACAGTGTAATACATACATCTTCTATATTACTGACAGCTACTGCCAGTAAGGATGTCACAAACAGTGTTCTACCTACATCTTCTATATTACTGATAGCTACTGCCAGTAAGGATGTCACAAACAGTGTTCTACCTACATCTTCTATATTACTGATAGCTACTGCCAGTAAGGATGTTACAAAAAGTGTAATTCTACATCTTTTATATTACTGACAGCTACTGCCAGTGAGGCTCTCACAAAAAGTGTTCTACCTACATCTTCTATATTACTGACAACTACTGCCAGTAAGGATTTTTTTAGCTCCATTTGAATTATCAAAACTTAAACTGGAGATTTTCTGTGCATTTTCTAATACACCACTCCTCGAATACAATGCTGCAAGTTAGCATAGAGTTCACCCAAATGTTCAGATTGACTGTTATAATAAAAATAAAACGTGTTTCATTAAATAATATAATAAAAAGTTTTGTAAGAAATATAAAAAAATTACACCACAATAAGACTCATACATTTGCATAACTTATCAAGACAAGTGCAATACTGTGCCCACATCATCGACTTTATCGGGCATGTTGAAAATGGACGCCAAGTTGAATTTTTTCAATGTCTCATATGCTATTCAGAATCTTTGAGTCCTGCAGATTATTCATGCTTGTATCCAGTTTTTAAATTTCTGTTTTATAAAACCAATTTATCTACCTCATTATAAATACTGCATATTGTATAGTGGGTAAGCTCGTGCTTCTCGTACAAAGCATACTTAAACTTTAGGCCTAGATGTTGATTTTTAGGCACCTGTTGGAATTTGTATTAAGATGTAATGACGTTGTGTTATTTATAAACGATAGAATTAACTTAATGTGTTTTCTTCTGTGTTTATTTATCTTATGAACGTCATAATTTTGCACTCGTATAAAAGTAGAAGTATCACTGTACAATTAACCAATAGGAATATTGAGTTTCCAGGTGAGCGAGCATGCATACACGCACGAGATGACTGATACATATTGCTATTTTAATTACAGACACATTAGTTAGAGGGCACGTGACATTAAGCTCTAGAAAGTTCGACTAATACCTAGACATACGTACATTAGTTATAAATAAGAGTAAACAATGAGTGAAATATTCAATAAGTGTTCAATGTGAGTAATATAGTGATTCAAAGCAATGTTAATAGCCAGATTAATTACGTCTATTCTGCTATTAACTTACTCGATGAGTTGCGTGTTTGTTAATCGATTAAAGCTGAGTTAGGCATATGTCTAACACGTTGTATTGAAACGATGTATGTGAAGCTAGATTTAGTTGTAGAGCTTATAATAAAACTTTATTTGCAAGCTTAGACTGACAAATGTGCGCGAGTAGAAAGCCTGCAACATAGGTTAAGGAAGAAAGAATCTAATTTGTTATCATTAATTGAATTATACTTGTAATTTTTATTTTTTACAAATAATCTAAAAAGACTCACCAAAAGATAGAATACGCTGTAACAATATGAAAGAAGGAATCATGGAAGAATCGACATCATATGAATGAAAAACCAGCTTTATGTGAGTCACACAAGGTGCTTTGTAAGAACGGTACTGACACCGTATCAAAGAATAAAAAACAGTTTTACACGACCACATATAAGGCTTTAGGAAAAAGGTTGCACACTAAAAGGTTTTACCTAGATCTCCCGAAGAACTGATACTGATACATTATTGAAGAAAGTATAAGGAAAAAAAAAGAGTTATACGGGGATCACGCTGCTTTTAAGAACTGATAACAAGAAAATAGTTTTAGAAGAGTCGTACATAGAGCTTTGTGTTAAATAGCATTAAGATATCGTTGTTGAAAGCATTAGGAAAAACAGTTTTACAGGCGTCATAGTGCTTTCGAAAAAACCAACAACAATCAATCAGAATAGTGAAGGAAAAAACAGTTTTACAGAGGTCATGGTGCTATCGAAAAAAAATTAATCAGAATAATGAAGGAAAAAACAGTTTTACAGGGGTCGTGGTACTTTTGAAAAACAAAAATAATCAGAATAGTGAAGGCAAAAACAGTTTTACAGGGGTCATGGTACTTTCTAAATATGGGTTCTAACACCATATCAAACACAGTAACAGAAAAACAGTTTTATTGAGTCATACATAATCTTTTGTAAGAAACAGTAATAACACTGTATTAAAGAAAGTTTAGGGAAAACGTATTATATAGGTTCATGCATAAAGCTTTGGAAAATATGTATTCACAACTTATCAAAGACAAATAAGGGAAAAAACATTTTACATGAGTCAAAAATAAAGCTCGAAAAAACGGGTATTGACATCATATCCGAAAAATATCGTGTTATTGAATAATCTATAAAGATCATAATATAAAATGAATAATATGTAATTTGTTTAGAAAATAGAAAAATCATTAAAAGTTCTTTAGGAATGTTGTAAAGAAGTAAAGATATTGACAGCTGTGCTGTGGTGTTCTTTAGGAATGTTGTAAAGAAGTAAAATATTGACAGCTGTGCTGTGGTGTTCTTTAGGAATGGTGTAAAGAAGTAAAGATATTGACAGCTGTGCTGTGGTGTTCTTTAGAAATGTTGTAAAGAAGTAAAGATGTTGA